GGGGGATGGGTTAGCCTGGTGATGGGTATTAAAGAGGGCATGTATTGAATGGAGCACTGGGTGTTACACGCAAACAATGAATCATGGAATACTGCATCAAAAACTAATAATGTAATGTATGGTGACTAACATAACATAATAAAAAAAAAGAGAGAGAGAGAGAAAAATTCTGCTGATGTGCCCTTGCCAATTTCTTTGCCTAAACTACAAATGTGGGACCATGACAAACTTATCCCTAACGGTTATGTAAGTCCTCTTACAACACTGTTATTGAATATTAGGGTGATCAGTGTGACTTCGAAAAATATACTGAGCTTATTTGATACATTCAAATTCTCTTTAAAATACAAACTGTCCGTACAGCAGTCAAACATTCCTAGTCCAAGTTAATATGGAAACGAAGCAACTGCCAGTCAGCTGTGAGATTAGGATGGACAGAAATGGAACAAGGTCTACATATTGTGAAGTAAAACAACTTAATTACTTACCACAGAATATCTTCAAGGCAATTTCTAGTGAGGACTTAATTAGGCAATGAGAGCATTTGTGAGAGATTAAGACCAGCATTTGCAGGGTTCGTGTGTGTGTGTGTGTGTGTGTGTGTGTATTAGAGAAAATAAAACAAGACAGAACAACTCACCAATTCCAGACATTGTCTGTGGCCATAGGCAGCAGCATAATGTATGCTATTGTAGCCTTCCTTGTCCCGGATAGATGGATTTGCATCATTTTGAAGCAGAAACTCTAGACATCTGTAAGTATAAAAATGAGGTGTTATTTTAGAAAACATCTCTAGACCAAAAGCAATAACTAATGCATTTTCCTATTATGAATGTTCCACAAAGCACTTTGTGAATTTAAGTGTTTCTTTAAAAATCCTATGGCAATGACGGTTTATGTACTGAAGTTTTACATGTGTGTGTGTTTCCATCTTTATTTCAGCTTAAAATAGCCATTCTAGAATTCAGGAAAGGTTTTAGGGACAAGAGGGTGGTGAGGTTTATTGAGAGGGGGGAAAAGAAATTATCCATGACTATCCCCTCCTCACTGAGTTGTTTTAATGTCATGATCAATATTGCATATTTATCCACACACGGGTTCATGTCTGGACTCTGTTCTGTTACAATAATCCATTTGTCTCTTCCTGCATTGATAACAGAATGTTTTGGGTTTTCTTTTTATAATTGATGTACAATGTTGTATTAGTTTCAGGTGTACAACACAGTGATTTCACCATTCTATACATGATGCGATGCTCACCACTGTAAATGTAGTCACCTTCTGGCACCACACAATGTTATTACAATATTATTGACAGTATTCCCTGTGCTGTACTTTTCATCTCCATGACCTATGTATCTTACAGCTGGAAATGTGGACGCCTAATGCCCTTCACCAATTTCGCCCATCCCTCCACCACCACCCCCCCACCACCTCCAGCAACCACCAGTTTGTTCTCTGTACTTAGGAGTCTCGGTCTGGTTTTGTTCGCTCCTTTGTTTTGTTTTTTAGATTCCACATATAAGTGAAATCTTATGATATTTATCTTTCTCTGTCTGACCTATTTCAATTAGCTTAATAAAGAATAATTAAGGTTTTTTTCCTTTTTACCTTATTTTTTGGGGGGTTCCTTTTTTTTATTTTAAGTTCAATTAATTAACAATATAGTGTATTATTAGTTTCAGAGGTAGAGTTCAGTGATTCATCTTGTTATGTTAGTCACCATACAGTACTTCAATATTTTTTGACGTGGTGTTCCATGATTCATTATTTGTGTATAACACCCAGTGCACAGAACCTGTCTGTCATCAAGATTACTGAATACGGGCACCTGAATAGGTGGCTCAGCAGGTTAAGCAGAGTTAAACTTCTGCCTTTGGCTCAGGTCATGATCCCAGGGTCCTGGGATCGAACCCCGCGTTGGGTTCCCTGCTCGGCGGGAAGCCTGCTTCTCCCTCTCCTCCCTGCTTGTGCTCTGTGTCGCTATCTCTGTCTCTCTCTCTCTAATAAATAAATAAAACCTTAAAAAAAATTACTGAATAATGAGTTTTAGAGCTCCACATTCAAAAAATGAAGTCTCAAATTTAACAAAGAAGTGGTCAGTCCATTGTAACAAGGGGGGGGGGTGTACTTTTAGCTTTGCTATTGGAGACTCTACCGTCAATCAAAAGGTTGGAAAATGAAAGCTAGAAAGAATAAGAAAATAACAACAAGAAAAGAACTTAAGAATAATAAAAAGATTAAAGGAATGGGCAAATATTTAAAACATATAACGTATTAATTCCGTAACCACATTTTAACATAGAGGCTTAAATTGCATCATTGTGTATAGACTAGAATAAAATAATAAATAATAAGCTTAGAAAGCCTCTTCTGACAGAGTTGTAATTTTTCTGGAAAAGCCACAATCTTTACAGTAGGTTGGAGGAAGGAGCTCCACGTTTGCTGAAATGCCTCCAACTCCAGGACACGAGTGTCCAGGGATGTATGGAGTTCTCTTCCAGGCCTCTTACAAGTGGTACAACCCTGCTGGCCAAAGAGGGAATAACTAGGCGGGAGCACCACTCCATAATCTTAGTTTTCTATCTGTGGCAGTGGGACAAACATGTCCTTTATAAGGTCAAGCAGATTCAATTTCATACTCAAATCAAAATTCTCAAATACTCAAATCATATTTAAAATATACAATAGATGTGTGTACATTAAATAAGATCTTCCAAGGGGAAGTTTCTATAGTTTAGTCAAACACTTTATTTTTGGTTTTGTTTTTATTTATTTTTTATTTAAGTTTTTATTTTAATTCCAGTTAGTTAACATGCAGTGTAATATTAGTTTCAGTGTGCAATATAGTGATTCAACACTTCCATACCCCATCCTGTGACTCAAACACTTTAAAATGACACTCACCTATCTTTTGGCATAAGGCAAAAGGAGTAAATAAATCACACATAAACATAGTTAAAACACGTTTTAATTTCTAGAAAAACTGATGAAAGACATTAATTTTTTAAACCAAATATCTACATGTCGCATGATTTATCCATAAAATGCTCCATAATAAATCAAACTAATATTGGAGTTCTGATATCATGCAGTCTTTGGTAACTTGCACCTTAAAAGGAAGTCTTTTTTTTTTTTTTTTTTTTGGTAATTAAATGCCCATGGACAGGATCCCAGGTCTGACTCATTTTAAGCAGAATTTGGCTCCTGAAATAAAATCATTCAATAGGAATAGCATTCTAGTGGACACACAGTCCCCAGCTTCTGAAAGAATTACACTCTAAAAATCAGTTGGTGAATTTAATACGTAATTTGGAAAACACTTGGACTTGCTTCCAAAGAGTTATTTACCCCAGGATAGAGCTGAGCTATACTACCAACAGCACTCTTAGAAAAAACAACAGTACTATAGAATTTGAATATTCTCCAGATTGTTTCTAAGGGGAAAGAAATTCCAGTTTTAACTGGGGATGCTTGTCTTTTCTCCTAAGAGGCCATGGCTAGCAATTTTGGAGCCTAAGCTGCAAAATCAAGACATGCACTTTAAATCAGGAATGCATTTGGATGATAGGTGCAGCCTCTGCATGAAAGCGCTCTCAGGCACTTTCGCCTGCTTGTCCTTTTTCCCTCTGTATCAGCTGTTAAGAGGACTACTCTGGCACAGGACAAGCTGACATTTCGCTGGAGAAGGGGGCATTTGCTGAGGTGCCTTAAGATTCTACAGCCTTTGAATATCATTAAGTTTGGAATATCAGGGCAAAACCGTGGTCATTCTGCTTTACTATGTGTCCTGTCCCCAGCCCAGTGACAGCCAAAGTTACGTCCCACAGCCTGTACCAGAGCCACACTCTCTAACCCCCCCTCCCTCCATGGTCTAGACATGGGAGGAGAGCCCAGTGGGCAGTGGGAAGACCCCAGAGGGGACACAAGCCTTCAGGTCACAGAGAAATTGGTTCCTCTGACAGCGGGAGAAGAGAATAAACACGCTAAGAACTGTGTGTGTGCAGATTCCTAGAGCACTCCACCCCCTAGGTCTCACAGAGCAGGACACAGAGTGTGGGCAGCACTCATTCATTTGCTCATTTATTTAAGTTACTGAACTCCCTGCAACATACTGGGCACTGCTCTGGGCAGAGCACGACCTTTGCACAGTGCCTTGTCGCACAGGGAGGACTGTCAGAAGACAAAGCACTAGAGCTTCCTGCGCATCAGCACCCCTGGGTGATGGCAGTGACTCCCGGCTCTTGTCACAGTCCGGGCTGAGTCTCTATCAAAAGCCAGAGAGAGGCCGGTGGGATGAGGCGGGGCAGGGGGCAGCTGTCGGCAAGAGCAGGGGGCTGTTTGTGAGCTGGTGTGTGTGTGGGAGAGCACCACCATTGTATTTCACACTGGATTCTCAAAACATTTATTTCTAGAACCTGCTAAATAGTTACCCCCAAGTCATTAAAGGAGAGCCTAAGGCCCTGGGAGGAGGCTTAATATGTCCCCTGAGGCATATGATAATATATGGCAGAGTCAAAAATGATATTTAAGACACCTACTCCTAAAAACTGCTGACCCATCACAGTGATGGTCTCAGTAAAGTTTCCAATTTTAGGAAGAGTTCCTTGTGTGAAAATAGCATAACTGAAGGATATATTAAAAGAATCATTTCTTCTTCACTAAAGGCAAGCCCATATCACTTCCTCAAGAACCCAAATAAAGCCCCCAAATAGTAAGGCTGGCCTGTGTAGCAACCCAGAAGAGCAGACAAGCATCAGTAACCACCTCTTGTGCTTTCAGCTGAGCAGAAACTTACAATGCGGCTTCCTTTTCCTTCAGCTCTCTGGCTCTTTCAAGTTCTTCTGAATTTTCATGGGCATTTCCTAAGATAGTCTTACTTCTCAGCATAAGGGAAAGAAAAAAAAATTACAATTATTTGCTTTCATGGCAAAGTTGCTAATGATTTTGATACAGCTTATATCTCAACGACTTTTCCTGCAACCCAAAAGACATAAGCACTACTGATTTTTTTCATTGAGGACGTATGTGGTTCTCTGAAAGGCCATCCAGTAAATCTGTTCTCTTCCACAGAACCCAACTGAGAACATGACTTTCCTAGAACTTCTGCCCAGGTATCAGAGAGTAAGACACCAAGTTGCCCACCCTTCCATAAATATCCTAAACTCCCCAAGTAAATAGGAGGTGATGGAGCTTAAACTTCCCTGACTCCTACCACATTCCTTGCTGCCTCCTTATCAGTTCAGCATCTCATTTATCCAGGAATGGGGTTCTAGTCACCCCTCAACTGCCAGAGCAATTCTTCATCACCTAGGATTCCTTTTTATAGCTCTTAACACATGAAGTGTACTTGTCCCCCCATTCTATTCTAAGTGAACAGCATAGAGCCTGCTACGGAGTAGATGCTCAATAAACATTTGTTGAATTTATAACTAATAAATGTCGTTTCCTCTGAGTGAGGGCAACTGGAAGGAGGTCTCCCCTAAAAAGATGTGCCTATGAGATCCTGAGTGCAGCTACATCAGACTCGCCAATATCATATAATATGAACAGTGTTTTCCAAACTGGAAATATGGATCATAATCCACTATGGAATTGTGAAATCAATTTAGTGGGTTGCAGTATTTCGTTGCCTTTTTTTTTTTTAACAAAATAGTAGAAGAAAATATCAGAATGCATCATACATACTAAAAGTAAATATGGTCTTACAAAATTTTTGCTGCCTTTTTACATATATATTTAAAACATACCTATTTGAGTGTGTATGCTGGGTCATGATGTAAAATGTATTTCTTACTGTGGGTCACTGTAAAATATGTGAAAGCCACTGCTGTATAAGAAAAGAATTTAGCCCTGACCCAGAATCAATTCCATAGCACAGCACAGCAAGTAAGTCAATAGTTCTCCAAACAGGGTCACCAAAAAGCATTCCTATGAAGGAGGCCTCGGTCCTCGAGTCTTTGAGAACAATCTCATAAGCTGTAGGTAGGCACCTCTCCCTCCTTTCCCACCTGAACTGGTTCATTTATTTCTGCTTTCTATTCCTAGGCACCTAGAATCCAAACATGTCCAGGGCATCCAACCTCCTCCCCTTCAGCTCCTGAAAGAGCATTCATGCCCAGTTTGGAACAAAAGTACCAATTCTGCACATACTGACACTGCATTTGAAGGCTATTGGGATTATACATAGATGGATACTTCTGCCATGTAACGAATTTATTAGCAAATGTAAGTCTGAGGGCAAATGAAGCATTTAAGTGGTGATGATGAAAACTGTAGGATATGACAAAATAAATTACAAGCGATTTTGGATGAACTGAAAACCTGAGCTTGACAGCCCCACTTGGCATTCAACCCAATGACCGGAGAAGAGAAACAATGGAGCAGTGACATGTAATAATCAAACATAAAGAGAGCAGAATGGGAAAACCGGGGTTAGGGATGAGGCAATTCTAACTCCTCTGGGTCTGGATGAGAGAGATTCTTCATTCACAGCTTCAAGGAGGCAGCATGAAGAAAACTTAGCAAACCCTCCCCCTCCCCAGTCATACCCCCAAAGGAAATTTGAGCAAGGCTGTTTTTACTTTCTATCCATGTCTGATGCAGCAGCATAGTGCAAAGCTGTGCGTCCCCAGTCATCTGTTTCATTAACGTTGGCCCCTGTGGTCACTAATGTCTCAATACAGTGGAAATGACAATTTGCAGCTGCATAGTGCAAAGGCGTCCTGAAAAACAGACAGCAATTTATTACTTCATTCACCTGAAAAAGACACACACCCACCCCACCCCCCTGCTGCCGCCATCATCTGCATTAGCACCGACAGCAGTATTCCTAGGAGTGGGGAAGCTCTTTAGCTCTCAGAGTGTGGAAGCCAAGGGACATGCCTTCCTTTGACTTTATAACTTGGAGCTGAGGCCACCTACCTGGGATCTATCTTTTCTTTCCATTCCTAGTGCCTAACCTGGTGTAGGTCTACACTAGCTCTTTTGGACTATTGCAATACCATCCCTATTGGCCTCCTTAGCTCTAATCAAACTTCTATCTAATTTCTAGTTGGTATGAGTGAAGAACTGGATTTTCTAAGGTCCGATACCCACATAGGACATTCTGTTCTAAAACCACTGGTCCTCTCTACTGAGAAAAGCCTTGATTCCTTAGTCTGGAATCAGACCTTTCTAAGCTGAGCCCAAACTACCTTCATGAAGTTTCTCTATCCCCCCTATATGAACCCATCACTGCATCCAAGTGGGATCACCTGAGGTCTCTCCAGTCATGTCCACATCTCCCCTGCCTATCCCCATGTTGTTTTCTTCCCTGGAATGTCCTCTCCTGAACCACTTCTACCCATCAAAACCCCAAAGCTTCTTAAGTCCCAGAAGTTTCTTTCCCTTTTGTCTGAGATTGTGCAGCTCCTGTCTGGGTCTCTCATGAGCTCTCATCCCACATTGCCTTGACTTTAGCTCTTGGTATTGTCTCATCTTCTCCATTGAACTACAAGTCTCTTGGCGGTAGGGATATAGACTAGAGGGAAGAACAATATCCAAGGAATCAGAAACCCTGGGTTCTAGTCCAGGCAGATCTGTAAGCTGCACCAAATCACATCCCCTCTCTGGGTCTGGGCTTCCTCGTCCTTACTTCAGTAATGACCCATGAGCAGCTGCCCCCTAACATCTAGTCTAGATCTAAAATTCCTGGAATTTTACATGTACACGTAAATATATTACAGGTATAACTCATTTAGTTTCTCCAAGCTCAATTTCTTCATCTATTAAAAAGGATAGGAAGCATCCCCATTTATCTCATAGAGTTATTATGAAAAACCAAGTGGGTAACATAGGAAATACATGCACCTTGCCAAGAGTAAGTCACTGCAGAAACTAGCCAATAGTTAGGGAATAATAATCAAATGGAATACTAGAAATAAAATAACTTTATCTCATGAACTATTTATTAATTTTCAAGGCCACTCTTTTATATTTTACAGTCAATGAATGGGCTTTTTTACTGGTCCACTAGAACAGTGTGATGTGTGCTCCAGTTGTGGAGTAGGGAGGGTCCCAGGGGAGCAGAGAGGAGGGGCACCCATGCAGCGGGGGCGGGAGGGGTTATTTGATATAAATCTGGAAGGGTGAGTAGGCGTTAGCCTAGGTAGGTTGGTAAGAGAAGAAATCTGTCGCAACTCCAAGAGCCAGGGTGCACGTGGAGGGGAGGGGTAGAGAGATGCTATGGGAACAAAACCGGAAGAAGGCAAGACACAACTGGCCCTTCTAACAGAAGCCGTGAGAGGAGATGCTTGTCTTGGGGCTTGTGCCTGCTTTGTTGGTGTTTCGCTACAAAAAGGGATTTCCTTCTGAGGATGGAATCTCCCCAGCTAGCTTCCCTGTTTACCATTTCACTATAACGTGATTTCCAGATGGACTGCTCCCCACCCCTGTTACTGAGGCACTTGAAGCAGAATTCCCTGTTTACATACCTCCCACACTTGTCCTTTTTATGGAAATCCGCTCCGCTGCTCTGCAAGAGTTTTATACATTCCACATTACTAGAAAGACAGGGAAAAAAAACATCATTAAGATGGTAGAGGTCAATTGCTGGGCTATCTTCAGAAAGAGCTGTTTTTGGCGAAGTGCAGGCCAAGATGAAATGATAGCTCCAGCTTTAAATTCTGCTAACGCAAAACCAACCTGAACATCTTAGAGGAATACGGTATTGCAAGGATCTGAGGTTCCTGAAATTCCTTTTTCCAAGCTAATAAATCAATCCATCAAAGAGCTTGATGGAACATTTTCAATTCCATGACCAAGGTATTTAATGATTATTACATGGTTAAACCTTTTAGTGATGGTTTCATCGTGTATCCCAAGATTCTCCTTTAAAACCATCAAGAGTTTGGGAAACAACCCCTTACACCTATGATGATTTCATGTCACCTCTAAACAATGAGCCAGAATGGAGAAGCATTACCTTTTATCACAGGAGAATGAATTCACTGTGATAACCATTTTCAACCCAGACTCTCCATAATGGGAAATAAAACAGCTGCATTTCCCTGTCTTTGTAATACAGGTAAATAAATGTACAAAAAATAAAAGGCCGAAAATGATGTAATGGAGCATAGTGATCTTCCAAAGCTTCTTTGTCATTCGCAGAAGCAATAAATCACGTTTAGTAGAGAAAAAGGACCCACTGAAGTGAATTTTCCTATTGAAAGGCATGTCGCTAAATATTAATTGTAATAGGAGTTTCAGATATGAATCCAGAATGGTGTGTTGCCAAGGTCTGATACTTTTTTTAAATGTCGGCATAAAAAGAGAAAATCACCCATTATTGTTCTAAACTTGGAGTGCTGAGTAGTCGTCTAGGATTTATTGTTTTATTATCATTTAAACATGAAAAATGATCTCATTAATGAGGAACCCGAGCAGGGCTCCCCCTACCCCCAACCACTCTTTGTAGCCACTTTTCTCAGAGAACCCGCTGTTTCAGTCATAAAATATAAGAACTTTCTGAGACCATTATGTGTTGGTGTCGCACGCCAGTTGATATAAAAGCACCTGTCTCTTACTGAATAAAACCAAAGGATCAAAGGCAGAGGCAGATCCAGTTGTGTGACTTATGAAGCTCATTTGATTTGGAGAGAGGGGTTGGGGAGAAGGAGATTCATTTAAAAAATAACACACAATTATGAATATAAAACTAAATACAAGATTTCGGAAGGGACCCATGCAAATAAGGGCCCTAAAGCTTCACAGTCAACCCACCTCTGATAAAAAGGTAATGCCTTTGATAATGTACAGATGACAAATGGAGAAGCACTGCTGTTCCCTGAGGACTAGCAAACTGATTAAGAACTAACACCTTACCCAAACAAGGTCATCCGAGAGAGGCCATGTTTGGTCAATGTCGGGTCATATATCAACAACATATTGATCAGAGCCTTACTCTCACCACTGATATGAAAAAGACTATCTGATGAAAAATGCTCTTTACAACTTGAAACAAAAAGGCAAGGATTAAATCGCTTCTTGCCTATGCCTTGGGTTTTCTTAACCTTCAGTCCCCTTTAACCATTTACGTACTTAAAAATCGGTTTTGAAATAAGGACAAAAATAGCTGTAAATAAACATGAACTAACTCAATCTTGGATTCCCTTGATCATCCTCCACCTACCAGCGACAAAAAAGGAAAAACTTAGGAACAAATCTCAAATTATTTTCTTTTGGTAGAGTGCATATCAAGTAGATACATATTCTATAGGCTAAAGACCTACAATTAAAAAAAAAAGGGAAAGAGAGAAGAGAAAACAAAGAATACTATTTTCTATATGAGATGGGCTAAAAATTTTTCTTAGGAAGAACAAACATACAATTAATATGGAAATGCAAAAGTGTTATTTGGTATTGGTAGAAATGATTCTTACCCATCTTACTAAGGAAATTGCTTTTGATTCACAGACAACTTAAGCCAAGTAAGAGAAATTAGGAGTTAAGTCATGAAACAAGAACTGAAATTGCTAACTACTCACCCTCCTGCAGCAGCAGCATGAAGGCACGTTCTTCCAAATTTATCTGGGGTGTCTATTTCAAAGCCTGCAGACAGCACGTGCTCATTACTAAACAAGGATACTATGCTATACTTTTGTCCTAGTTAAACCACAAGAAACATTGCAGAGACAGAAAAATCAGTTAGTAGAAAAACCAGAACGCAAGCAATTGTAGTCAGAAAGAGGTTGTCATGGAAACGAATGGTAACTGCTCAAGCTTGGCAATTTTATAGAAGAACCATGAAGTCTAGAAGAATTTATTTTCACATTCAGCCCTGGGTGAACAACAGCCCCATATTTCAATCCCAGGATAGAAATTTATGAAACCAATTTGAGATAAGTAGGGCAATAGACAGGCAGACAGAACACATGGAGAAAACATGGACAGCAAAGGAGTAATCTTAACATGCTGGAGTAGATATTTTCTTATGTGTATTATTAGCTTTCAGCTGGTTTAAGATTCGGGAAACATGCTTTCATGCAGGGATTATTTTTAAACATGCCAAAAGCGGTGAAGGCAGAATCAACCACAGGTAAAGCACTTAAAAGGAAAAAAAAAAAATGCCTCTGGGATGTCTGTTGAATTAATTCATAAACAATCTTTGCCTTGCAGACCTCTATCACCTTTGAAAGCCAGGAACTTCTTAATACATGGAGGTTGGCAGAAGCAGTGATAAGAAAGATTAGCAAAGCTCCAAACCAGGAAGAATTTCTTGGTTCCAAACAGACCCACATTTAAAAAATAAAAATTAAACCTAGTTGGAGGGGATCACACTATAGGGATTTATCAGAGCCCACAGAGGAGGAAGGTAATGTGACATTTCTACTGTCAAAATGTGGGGGCTTTGGCCTTTTTTCCTTTGTTGAAAATATTAACTGTTAAATCCACCCTTTTAAGCCTCAAAGATATTTTCCCTGATTCCGACAAACTTCCAGTAAGCTATGGCCACCCCCCTGCCTGTCTCTCACTCTGGCTCATCCAAGCTTTAACTTGAAAAACAGACAAGACTCTCATCTTGGGGCAGGAATACTGACACTCAAACAGCAACAACACCAAGGACTGCTGGGAGCTGTCCCCAGATCAGGTAATGAATGACAGGAAGCATGGGCAGCCACTTACTCTGACCAGACACCTAGAGCCATGTGGCTCACTTACGGGGCACATTAAGCCTCATCTGTGGTAATGGGGTTACTTACCCGATGATAAGAGCTTTCTGCAGCAGTCAGAGTGAGCATTTAGGGCAGCTAAATGTAGGGGGAACATGCTATGGATTCCACACCTGAGGAGGAAAAAAACAGTGGCTCATAGTAACAGATCTCAAGATACATGCAGAAGGACAACAACGTTTCTGGAAGTTTTCTGATGAAAATTAAATCCACAACACCTAGCTTCAGGACCCTTGCCTGAAACAGTTTTGTAATTCCTCCACTCAGGAAATAATTATGCAATCATTTTCCACCTTAACATAATAACATCCTAAACCTAGACCAGAATTAAAAACCCCTAACAATAGGAATGTATCTTTTTAAGGTAATGTTTCCTATAAAGGGTGACTCTACATTTAAGATTAATTTACCTTTTTTTCTTTCAACTGAGTAGTTTTATGTCAGCAACCTGTTTTATTCAGTGACCTGTTCGTTCCTTGAATTGATAAAGAAATACTATTGATCTATTATGTGCCAAGTACTTTGCTAAGAGTTAATAATGGCTGTATTATCGAAAAAAAAAGTTGCATGCGAATAAAAACCAATGTTTACCTTTTGCGGGTACAACTTCATCTTCCTAACAGACTTTTATACTGCCTATTAACCCACCTCAGGACACCAGTCATGAAAATGTGCTGGAGCAACACACATTATCTTGCATACGTTTCATAAATCTAGCATACTTTCCCTAACAGTATTACAGAAAGAGTCTAGAAAAGGACTTTTTAGACTGATACCCCATCATAACACAGTCCCCAGGATGATCCCTTAAGGGACAGGCAGTGTCCCTTCTGACAGCCGTGCTTTTTCCTTTAAAATAAAATCTTCCTCTTGCCCATCGCCTCTCCTCACACAAGGACCCGAAGCCATGTGCTGAACTGTCGTTCCTAACAAACAGCATCATCGAGAGGTTCCAGTGTTCTTATAAGAATTTATAATGTTAGTGCTCATTTCTCAGAACATCTCATCATAGTCAAATAACGTTATTTCAATTTCTGCAAATCCTCTGCATAACACAAGTAAGTACGTGTATTTACACCTGCAGCATTAATGACCCAAGTTTCTTCCCTGGCACAAAGTTGCCCGTTTTCAGACTCTATAACTCATTAAGAAACACATATGGTTTGAGTTGGTTAGGTTTCAGATACATGACTTTTATTTCCTATCTCAAAAGTTATTATGATGTGTGTGAATGTGTGAAAGTATATACATATTCACAGCTATTTCATGGTATTCAGCGTTCTGCCAAATCTGAGTTGGCCAACAATTAACCACCTCTCTCTTTCCATGAAAACTTCTGTGTATTGGTGTTTTTGTTCAGTCTCCCCTCTGTTCGTTTTCCTTTCCCTATATGGAGATTTCCAACCCACTGTATATAATAGCTGGCATCCATCAAGAGATGCAATTTGCTTGTCTTCCGGGCAGTGTCATGCAGAGGAGAACTGCTTGTAATTGCCTCTCTCATCATTTACAAAAAAAATTCTGAAAAGCAATTGCACCAGTGACAACTTTGATGTTCACGGAAAGGAAGCGGGCATTGGGGGATGGGAGAGAAGATTTTCTATCTGTGCTGCTATATTTATATTGTCCTCTTGATGCTGTGATTTTTTTAAATGTATAACATGTTTTAAAAGCACCTTACTAAATGGAATTTTAAGCCAATGAGACTGTACCTAACCACTTTATTTGTTTAGGGCAAGTAAGGCAAAAATGTGATTATATTAGTATCTCTGGACATTTGCAAGAGAAAAACAGTATTTTCTAGGATGGTTTTAAGTTCCTGAAAGAATGTGCCTGGAATTGGGTTGGATTTCCCAAGATTTCTTTGAGTCTTCCCCATTCTTTAAATATAACTTTAATAAAAATATATATGTGTACAAATACATAACACGTAAAATATATTAAAATGTTATGTATTACATACATATTATATGTACATACATATACATGCATATATGTATATATACACAATATAATAATATATTTTATAAAGATACAAAAATACATATCTTTATATACAATAATACAAGCAAATGAATTAGAGAAAATAGCATCAAATTCTATAAGAAATCAATTAGGAAAAACATAAAAAGTGTAAGTGATAGTATAACAGCAACAGCATTGTAACATATTCCATAAACTTCATTATTAATATTTCTAATCAACTTTGCCACTTAACATCATTATATTCAAGTAATTCATCATACTCTACATTAGCTAATTCTCTCTTCTGTTTCTGTTACTTATAAACTTGAGAAGAGGGGTAAAACTATTCTAAAAGGTCTAGCAAAATTCTGTTTAATATATATATTTTATTCAATAGTTAATAAAAAATCACTACCTCAATGTAGGTTTGAAAACATACTAATTTAGACTCAAGTACCACTGGCATTTGAACTTGAATATGATACTATGGTTCAAACAGGAAAACTAAATATCAGGCTGAGATTGGAAAGAAAATAAAAGTCAAATTCAGAATCTCTGGATCACTTCAGAAATGATTCATGTATTTCAAAATAAAATTACTCCTCTATTATTACAAAGTAAGACTGCTTATAAAGGAAGAGTCATAAAACCTTTAGCAGGAAAATTAGGGTTTGGCTGTCTTAGGCAAATAAGAAGCATCACTCTTATTTTATCTTATTTTATACATCAAAGAAGATCAAGAAATAAAGACGTCAGATAACACTAAACTTAACAATGCATAAATTACAGGAAAGAGGAGACCAATTCCAGCTAAAATGCTACATTTGACCAGTCATAAAATTAATGGGACACATTTGTATTAGCTATTTCTTATTTAGCTGTTAGCTGGCATCTCCTACCCAGTTATTTCAGAATAAATGAGGTCAGAATAAATTGTAGACAGCTATCAGAGGTAAGGAAAGGGCTTGTGCACTATTAGAACATCAGTTCTTTTAAGCTTTCCCCTTGGCATCAGAGAGGGCTGTTCCTTCCCACCTCCAATGCTTTCTAGAGCCTTCTCTGAGGCTGTATGCTAAAAAAACACTGAGTTAAGGTGATGGGGTCAGAAATCTTGGGTTTGAGTCCTAATTTTGACACTTGCTAGCTATTTGATCTTTGGCAAGTATGTAATGGTTCCCTCATCCAGAAAATAAAGATCAAAACAGTGTCATCTTACAGAGCAATTGTAAGAACTAATTAATAATGCACCCAGGTGCTAACAGAAGGTCTGGACCATGATAAGCCTTTACCATACAAGTTAGTATTAGTACTGCCCTTGAAATTATTATTAGCTTAGTTGCATAATCAGCGGTCTGTAAGTTTTGAAGTTGTAATCAGGCTGTGATTCCTTAAAATCAGCTTTGTGATTCTTAAAAAGCCAAGAATAAATTGTGATCTGTTAGCATTCCTATCTTTCTACATTTCAAAATTCTTTATAGTACTTATCTCACAAGTCTCCTAGGGAAGGTGGATTGGTTTAGTTTTGTCCACTGAGCAGGTGAGATGAAAACATTTGATGATTTTTGATCATCAAATGATTTTATGATTCTTACTTGACTGATCAACCCAAATCAAAAGATCAGTTTCCTATTAATTTTATCTATGTCATTCTGAGTATCACACACCCCTAAGTTAGAGGCATTTGGGTATAACTGACAACAATGAGGCTGGTCCTTGCTGTTTGCAACCTACTGACACTTTCAGTGGTTTCTTTTGAGTCAAGACCAAACACTCTAATGTGGCTTACAAGCCACTTCTGGATCTAGCTGTTGCTTAATCAACCAGTATTCTAGACTCAGTGGACTTCTGCCCCTTCCTCCTGGAGAAGCCAAGGCTCTATCCTGCCCCAGGCTTTGTTTGGTACAAGAAACTCATTTTTCTGCCCAGCTTCTCATAGCCTTTCTCAAACTAGTTAGTGCATCTCTGGGGGCCACTGGAAATACCTCCGGGCTTTCAAGAGTTCTCTGTGGGAATTTCTAAACTGTCTTTTCCTTTTGATGATAACCTAAAGCAAGTGGTATAAAAGCATATTTTGGCTCATCTCAACAACCACCTTCTCATGACAGACTTCTGCCGTATGTCAGCGCCCGTGTCTGTACTTGGGATCACACTGGTGTCATGCGGAACTACTTGTAAATTGGCAGGGGCCAATAAGAACACAAAAAAGGTGGATGTAACAGACAAATGATGCCTGAAGCTGGGAAGGGCCAGTGACAATGCAGTATGCTTAGCCTTCTAGATGCACCGAATTCGGCAGTAGTTGGCGTTTGTGCTCTGTGATGAGCCCACTGGCCCTCTATTGTGTCGAAGCCACTGCAAAACTTCTAGTCCTGCAGCATGTACTGACCTCTAACAAGACAGCAGCTCGGCCACCAGGACAATAACCCCATGAAAATGGTGATTTAGTTTTGGCAAATGGTGCACTATCACACCATCCACTACATAGAGAGGCAGCAAGCCTCTCGCTGAGGAGCCTCGCCTCCAGATCCAGATGGCTGAGGACGGAGTCTCATTTCCACCCCCTCAGAAGCTCTGTGACCTCAGGCAAGTAAGTGAACCTCTCTGTGCCTCACTTACTTCACTTATAAGATGGCGATCATCGTGTCACTCACCCACGGGGTCGCTGTGACAATTAAATATAATTCCTGAGAGTTAGTGCCTAGCACAGGTAAGCACTCATAAATGTCTGCTGCTACTGTTAACCTGGGAACACTGACTGCTGTTTGCATGTATGCCGTAATTTTTTTTTTTTTTTGACTTACTGATATAGGAGAGGCAAACCCTAAGGAGTCTCTATCGAGTTTCACATTTATACATATTCAAGTAACACTCTAATAAAAATAACTTAAGTCTATACCTGGGATCTGCAAGTCTCTCAGTACCACGACCTAACTAATTGCTATTAACCCTGTAGTCTCCATTAAGCACTGCTCTTCCCAGAAGCCCCCCCGCCCCAGCCGTGCTATGTCCAACATACGTTCTGTATCCAGTGGTACCCAGTGATTCTTGCATCACACTTTGCATGCATGATTATAACTGCTTGTTTAATTCTTGCCCCCAGTGAATTATAAATTCCTTGAGGGCAGGGACTCCTACAACCCCAGAAGCTGACACAGCCCCCAGAAACTAACGCTGCCCCCAGAAGCTGACGCAGCGGGTGAGACGTCACAGACCTTCAGCAAACATTTAGTGAATGAACAGATGGCAGAACTAGTTACCTGCATAACTATAATACCCCTAATTTTGCTGCAGTTGAGGCAGAATCAGTAAGGTAGAAGACAAATTAAAATCCCAGAGACAAGTGTCTCAAACCTAAAAAAAGTTAAAGAAGAAAAACCAGAGGGCTTTGGCACCACATGAAGTTGCATGAGCACTGAGAAGCTGCAGAAAGTGCTATGACTTAAAGCCCAGAGAAGGAAGAAGAATATCAAAAACATTTCATTGGGCCCGAGAATGAGATTCAAACAAATTCATAAGAAAGTAATGACCATAACACTTATCATATAGAGATCTTTTAAAATATATTTGGTCATATTGTTAATGAAGGAGGATGGGTTATTTTCATAAATGCTATTTGTTTACTTATTAATAGAGGGAAAAGTCCTACTTTTCTCCTCTTTAATAAGCTACTCCACATGGATCTACAAGAAACCCAGAGAAGAGTGATTTTCTGAGGGCTCTTAGCAAAGTTAATCTTCTCCAACTTTCCTTCCCCCATCTTGACATTTCCCCTCAGGTGATTTCCCTCCCCATGTACTACACACACATATACACACACACACACACGTGCGTGCGTAAGTGCGGCCTAATGAACCACTGTTTACTGCAGGGAGCATTCTTATCCCCAGATACGCTGTGACATAACCAGATGTGGCTCCTTGAGGCTGGGACAATGTTTGCCTCGCGGCATCCCCAGGACACAGCACAGGCAGTGGAAGGAAAGGCTACTTGAACAACAATGCCATCTCTAAGGCACTTTTGCCACATGTGTGCTCACATAAACTGAAGGCAAAATAATTACAAAGAAATGAACCTTGTGCTTACTGAGCAAATGTGTTCAGGGAGATTTTAAGTAAGTAGTGGGCCCCATTTCTCGCTCAAGTGGATCCAAATCTGAAAGAAAATCAGAAATTCGTGGTTGTTTGGGGCGCCTGGGTGGCTTAGTCCGTTGGGCGGCTGCCTTCGGCTCAGGTCATGATCCCAGAGTCCTGGGATCGAGCCCCGCGTCAGGCTTCCTGCTCAGCGGAGAGCCTGCTTCTCCCTCTCCCTCTGCCTGCTGCTCTATCTCTCTGTCAAATAAGTAAATAAAATCTTAAAAAAAAAAAAAATGAAAGAAATTCGTGGATGTTTGGTTAAAACTCCCCAAGTGGCCCTGAGTTGAAAGAAAACTACCACTGAAAATATTAACATATCACCGGTGAAGTGGATGTGCCTAGATATTTGACTCCTGCTTAATGAACGTGGAACATTTATGATCTCTGGCTTTGAGTAGCCATGATCTGGTGGGGAACTCAGAATCCAATAAGAGCTCCCTGCATCTTAGGACAGTGCTCTTTCCACAAGACTGAGATGCTTCTTTTAACTTGCAATAGCCCAGTCAAAAAGGTTCTTTGACTGTAAGTGGATTCCTTTCTTCTGAAAGGAGACAGCCCACTGCTCTTACTGTTTGTCATTGTGACCCTCTCTTTCCACCCCCAGCCTGGTCCTGAGTCCAAGTCCTCATCTTCTCCTTCCTGGACATTTGCAAGAGGCCACCACATGTCCCTGGTCTGGACCACCCCCCTCACGTGTGGGCTATTGTCAGAGTGATCTTTCTCACCCACAAATGGGATCATGAGACACAACGTTCCCTACATCCACTTATAATTCTTTAACAGCTTCCAAATGCCTCAGAACAGAATTCAACTCCTTAGCGGGACATGCAAGGTCCTTCATGATGTGGCTCTTCCTGCCTTCCCACCTCATTTCTTTCCATTTCTCCACACACATCAGATGATCCAGGCTTGGCAATCTGCTTTCAACACATTCACATGTTTGTGCCTTTGTAAATACTGTTCTCTCTTCCTGGAATGTCCTTCCTTGCTTTCCCTCTATCTTTTTTACCTCACAGTTTTGTTTACTGGACAAACTCCTACCCGTCCTTCTTTTTGCTGAAATGTCACCTCTTTTGTGAAACCCACAGAGTCAGTGTCTCCCTGAATGTTCCCACAGTGTGGTACAAACCTCACAATACTTGAATCGTCTGCTCTGGATCTTGTTCCCGCCACTAGACTGGGGCCCTAGGAGGTTGCTGGAACCCACCAGTGCCTTCCATGGACCATTTAAATTTTGGCTTATTCTCAAGCAAGATTTTCAATTCTGTTGCACAACCTTGGCAAATAAAATAGAATTCCTAATGCTACAGTGCTCTTATATTGTTCTCCTGAAAACTTAGTTTTTATTACCCACAGTCTCTGTGATCAAAGCTACACTCTTTATTCAGTTATTTACAGCTCTCTTGAATTTGGTTCTACTACATATTATTAAGTAATAAAATAATAGTTGTTGATAGTGTCCTCTGTGGTAGGCATTCTTCAAAGAGCTTTTAACATGGATTATCTTGTTTAATAATGTTAGGCAATAATTTATAGAACTCATACATCGATCTTTACCTATATCAGAGAGCTTTACTAGTAATTAAATCCTTTAATCCTCATAACACGCCTATGGGCAAGTACTGTTATTACTCCCATTTTTGAAATGAGGAAACCGAAGCACAGAGAGCTTTAGCAACAGGCTCAGGGTCACACAGCTCACAGGCAAGGTAGCTTGGATTGGAGCCCATGTAGCGCCCATGAAAGCCTGAGCTCCCAACCACCCATGATACTACCCAGGGCAGAGCAGCCTGGAATTGTACTCTTTCAACTCTTGTTCCTGCTTTCCTCCCTGCTCAGGACGTCTGCCACCCCTGCTCTACTCAAGTAATTGTCATCCTTCAAAGCCTGCCCAAAACTCACCTTCTGCTTGAAGGCTTTTCTGGAAACTCTGGCCACCTTTGAGCTCTCTCCTACCTGTCTACACTCAATGGCATATACTGTCTACCCTGAATGCTTTGCCACTTAAGTCCTGCCTCATTTAGGATTTTATTTATATTTATATAGATATTTATATATTTATTTTATATTTTAGTATATACTCTCTTCCATGGTTCTTTGTCTTAAGAGGGCCTTGGGCCTCTAACAAAATTATTAGCTCCTTAAAGGTACCGACCAGGTGACTTATTTCTGAAATTTCCCATAGCACCCAGCACTATGACCGACTTGTTCAAATGCTTATATTCTTGTGGAATTGAAGTGTAAAATGAAGTCAGTCCCCCTTCCCTAGGTAGCAGATTTACTCAGCGGTACCCCCTAATTCTATCATCAAAACTGAGCAAGCACCCTGAATAAATTCTGAATTTGCCCAATTATGTCTTATTCTTCCTGCTTAACCAATACTAAACACTGGAAAGAACAGAGTATTAGAAAGTAGAGTTAGGAATAGAGTTCAAGTCTCCTTAAGTAAAACCACTGGAATAGTCCTCTTTCTAATATAGCTGAAAATAAAATTGGTTCTTCCTTGCATCTGTCATTAAAAGTCACTTAATTTAGTGCAAATTTAATTTGTATTTAGCATAACGGTACAGATCCACCTTAACCTAGATTAATGGAAACTGTCTACTACATGGCAGATCCCCTTGGCAGTATTCCCACATGTGGCAATTATTCTACCGTATTTTTGCAGTAACCTACTTGGCTGTGTCAGCTCCGCTGGTTATTAAGGTGTTAATCAAAAGCTCATGACCGTATCTTGCAGCCACATGGAGAGGAGTGTTGCCATCCTTATCCACACAGTCAATTTCACCGCCTGAAAGAGATGTTTTAATACAGGATAACATAAGGATTCCGGCGGATTCAGATACTACATTCTATGCCAGTCTCTCATGTTGTCCGAATGTTGACTTCTTCCCCCTCTCTGTACATCTCTGATCCAAGTACAAGAATGCCTTTCCAGGGGACAGGGCACCATCTGAAGTAGTAGTAGTAAGTCTGCATAGAGCGAAGTCTGTTAGAAATGCTTTTGAGAAGTCTTTCCATATTGTCTTATTTAAGGATCTAAAATCTCACAACTAAATTCCTGCTCTGAAGGGACAAAGTTATCAAACCCCATAAAATGCAATTCTGAAGATATACCCAATTTTAATTTTACCTGCTTGATTAAAGACCTACATAAACTTTATACTAAAGCATCAGAACCAAAGAGAATAGAAAGTTCAAGAAAATACTTTATGTAGTTTGATTATTTGGTTTAAAATATGAGTAAAATGAGTAAATATATAACTATGAACTGGAAATATCTATATTTATAAAAACTACCATATTAATCAACAGTCCTTTTAATTATATAGTATTTTCATCTTATTTTGTCTTATTTTACTTCTTTTTCCCAACTTTTTATTTTACTACATTTCTTTCTTTCTCTCCCCTTTTCATAAATATATATATAAATACAGTTGGTCTATTTAACCACTTTTAAAAAGATTTTTTTTTTATTTATTTGTCAGAGAGAGAGTGAGAGGGCACAAGCAGGGGGAGCTGCAGGCAGAGGGAGAAGCAGGCTTCCTGCTGAGCAAGGAGCCTAATGCAAGACTCGATCCCAGGACCCTGGGATCATGACCTAGGCTAAAGGCAGATGCTTAACCGAATGAACCACGCAGGCGCCCTGGTCTATTTAACCATTTAAAAATAAGTTAGACATCATGACATTTTACCCCTAAGAACAAAGACATTCTCCCACATAACTACAATTCTATTAGTATACTCAAGAAATTTAGGGGCGTCTGGGTGGCTCAGTCGTTAAACGTCTGCCTTCAGCTCAGGTGATGATCCCAGGGTCCTGGGATCGAGCCCCCATCAGGCTCCCTGCTCGGCGGGAAGCCTGCTTCTCCCTCTCCCACTCCCCCTGCTTGTGTTCCCTCTCTTGCTGTGTCTCTCTCTCTGTCAAATAAATAAATAAAATCTTTTAAAAAAAGAAATTTAATGTTGATATCATAATTTTATGTAATATACAACATATTCCAATTATCCCCAAAATATGCACCATGGCTGTTAGTTTTTTAAATCCAGGACCCAACAAAAGATTCTGCTACCATTTGGTTTGTCATGTCCCTTCAGTTTCCTTTAATGTAAAATAATCCTCGTGCCTTTTCTCTATCTATCTATCTATCCATCCATCCTTGTCTCATGTCATTGATATCTTTGGAGGTCAAGCCAGGAGTGGGGTGGAATGTCCTGCATTCTAGAGTTGTCTGATTACTTTCTCTATTCGATTCAGAACATTTTGGCAAGACTACCGCAGAGCTGATGTGCACTTCCCACTGCCTCTCCACAACATACACATAAGGTCAGGTTAGTCCACCGGATGATGCCAATTTTGATAACTTGCAACGCGTACAGTTTCAGTTTCGGAAGATGAAAAAGTTCTAGAATCGACCAGTGGTGTTGTTTACACAAAATGAGAGTGTACTTAGTGCCAGTGAACTGTACACTTAAATACAGTTAAAACAGTAACTTTTTATGTTATATATATTTTACCACAATAAGAAAAGGGGCTTGATTATTTAGTTAAGGTGATGCCCACCAGCACTTGCCATTGCAAATGTCTTTTCCCTTTTGTAATTAACAAACAACTTGTGGGTGGTACTTTGAGGCTGTGCAAATATCCTATTTCCCAGCAAGGATTTTAGCATAGATAGGGAGTACTTTGTTGACAAGTTACCTGAATTCTTTATTCTGTATGCTTGTATTATTAACTGGATACATAGTTGAGATTCATTTGATTCTGTTTGTTTTCAAATATTTTACCAGCTTTTGGCTTTATTTTATTAATATGTAAAAAATTCACATGTTTCAGAAGTCAAAATTATATATATATTTTTAAGGCTCACTCTCATTTCCATCCCTTCTACTTCGTTCTCAACTACATTCTACAGTAATCACTTTCATTAGTTTTGGTATATGCTTTCTGTGTTTCTCTTTGTAAAAATAAATACACAGTGGGATGCCTGGGTGGCTCAGTCAGTTCAGCGTCTGCCTTCAGCTCAGGTCGTGATGCCAGGATCTTGGGATCGAGTCCCCCATCAGGCTCCCTGCTCAATGGGAAGCCTGCTTCTCCCTCTCCGTCTGCCTGCCACTCTCCCTGCTTGTGTGTGCTCGTTCTCTCTCTCTCTGACAAATAAATAAATAATCTTTTAAAAATAAACACACAAACTACCCTGCTTTCTTTTTCTTTTTTTATTTAACAATATATCCTGGAATATATATAAAAATCACTTCTTGGAGGTCTTCTTCATTTTTGTACAACTTTACTGCTTTCCATTGCATGGAGATACTAGTTAAGTACACCAGTCTGGTATGGATAAGCATTTAGGTAGTAAATATCATTTTGCTATCATCAGGAATGCTGCAGTGAATAACCTCATGCATATATTGTTTCCTATTTGTTGGGTGTATCTTCAGGGTAAATTCCTAGAAAGGGGATTTCTAGGTCAAAGAAATGAGTATGTGGTTTTGTTCAATTTTGCCACATTTCCTCCTGTAGGTCCTGTGCCATTTTGCTGCTCACATGAGCAATGTATGAGAGTGTGTTTTCCTCACAGCCTAGTCAAGCCTTTGAATACCTGCCATGTGATAGGTGAGAGTAATATTTCAGTATAGTTTTCATTTGCATTTCTCATATTAAGGAAATTGAGCATCTTTTAATATACTGAAGGACTACTTGTTTATCTTTTTCCATGCACTATTTGTTCATGACCACTTTTCTGTGTGTGTGTGTGTGTGTGTGTGTGGTCTTTTATTCCTTGATTTTCAAGGGCTCTTAAAATATTTAAGAGATTCACCATTTATCAGTAATACATATTACAAATATTTCCCCCCTACATCTTCATTTTTCTTTGTTCTTGTAGTCTGAAAAAAACCTATTTTTGGAATTCATACCTTTTCTATTATTATATTTAGATTTTGCATTGAGATTAGAAAGGCTTCCCCCACATCCTGACAATAAAGAAACTGACACACGTAAACTATTTGCAATACTGTCTCCATGGATACTGCAGAATAATCCAGGGTCCATGTATCTGTCTACGAACTGCCCACAGTGGTTGGCCTAAATGGTCCACCCCCAGGACTGATCCTGGGAGATGTGGGAGGCAGATCCCCAGACTCCAAGGAAACCTCTGCCCTGGACAAACACTGTAACACTCCATGTCCTTCCCAGTCAAGAGGCACCAAACCTTCTTTTTTTTTTTTAAGATTTTATTTATTTATTAGAGAGCGAGCGAGAGAGAAACAGCATGAGAGAGGAGAGGGTCAGAGGGAGAAACAGGCTCCCCACCGAGCCGGGAGCCCGATGTGGGACTCAATCCCAGGACCCTGGGATCATGACCTGAGCCGAAGGCAGTCGCTTTACCAACTGAGCCACCCAGGCGCCCCAAGGCACCAAACCTTCTTAAGAAGTGTTAGAACCTCTATGTTTATCAGCCCCAAATATGCCAAAAATTGGGTCGGGGAAAGAAAAGAGTGAAAAATGTTGGAAAGGGTAAGGGGCTGAGCTAATAAAGTTTCTTCTTGTTGTTACTACTATTTCATAAGTCAGTTTAACATTTTATTTATTTATTTGTTTGTTTTTAGAGAGAGAGGGAGAGCGTGCAAATGGGGAGAGGGACAGAGAGAGAGGGAGAGAGAGAATCTTAAGCAGGCTCCATGCCCAGTGCAGAGCCTAATGCAGGGCTCCCCCGAAACAGGGACTTGAACCCACGACCCTGAGATCACGACCTGAGTCGAAATCAAGAGTCAGATGCTGAACCGACTGAGTCACCCAGGCGCCCCTCATAAGTCAGTTTAAAACTGTAAAAATACATTTAATTATCTTCAACATATGCTTTTGTTGTCACTTAAAATATATTTCAGAAAAACATCATAACTAGTGGAAAAATAAAAGAGAGACTGTATTTGTTATTCAGAAATATGTTTTATATTAAAGTAGGACCTCTAGGGCACCTGGGTGGCTCAGTCGGTTAAGCGGCTGCCTTCGGCTCAGGTCATGATCCCAGAGTCCTGGGATCGAGCCCCGTGTCAGGCTTCCTGCTCAGCGGACAGCCTGCTTCTCCCTCTCCCTCTGCCTGCCGCTCTGCCTACTTGTGCTCTCTCTATATATCTCTGTCAAATAAATAAATAAAATCTTTTTTTTAAAAAAGTAGAACCTCTAGATGAATGAATTTCCATTTATAGTTATTCCCCAAACCTTTCCATTTTCACTTGAAAATCTTTAAGATTTGCCTGGATGCAAATTAAATATCTTTACTACTCATTTGAAGCTTGCAAGTCAAATGATACTAATTGATTATTAACAATTAATGAGGGAAATTAACATTTATGAGTTTAGAAGTATGCAAAGCATGTCAGAAGGGATAATTTATGTAGCATTATCTAAGCATTCATCTGAAGTTAGTTTTTCCTGCACAAACAAAAATGGTCATCTTATTAAATTGCCTCGGAAGATTCGTGAGCCAAAAAGTCAAAAATCTCACAATGAATCATCCTAACCTATCACTGGACTCTTCCTTTTCAAACTCTATTTTTAAAGCTTCTGTGAAGAAAACATCATTTTTGAACTCTTGTAACCTGCTGGACAGCATCTGAGGCAGGGGCCTAGTGCAAATGGCTGGATCAAATGCCTTCTGCCATCACGTTGTTTCTTCATTCAGTTCTTTCCCTCTCTGGCTGCTACAACCCAGCTTCAGACAACAAACAACGTGACTGAACAGCAGAGGCAGTCTTTGCTCACTACCTACAAAAATAAAAGAGGTG